TAGAATAAAACAAATTAATTATTAAATAGTGTATAAGATTATAAAAAAATATTTAGACTTCGTATATAAAAATTATCCTTAAATTGTTTTCCCTTTTATGTAAATCAATTATTAAACTCATATATTACATTATCGTTATATTGTTTTCCCTCTTATATAAATTAATCATCCAACCAACAAACCAAAAGATCCTGATTTGAACTAAGGTCTAATTTTAAAACCTTTTAATGCTAAGGGTTTGTATAACCTATACCCTTAAGATATATCAAATATATTTTTTGTTATAAATTTATATTGAAAAAATAAAATTTAATATTTAATTTATCAATTATTCAATTAAATTCACTCAGTACTGACACTAAAATTAATATCAATTTTTACAATTTTTATATACATTTATAATAAAAAAAATATTCTTAACCTATGTACTTGGAAAAACCCTAATTCTAAACAACTAACCTTAAAGCACCAACAAAAATCAAGGAACAGGAGTTTTTTTATTTTCTTTTAAACATTGATGATCCAATAGTAAATATTATGACTATCTTTATTTTTGATTTTGGGTTAAAAATGAGAAATAAATTTTTATACTCAAATTTAAAATCTCTTATTTCAAAATAATTTTAAATAAAAAATTATGAAATTAATTTCTGATAAGAGATATAACTTTGAATGGCGATTCACTCACATTTCTATAAATTTAAGAAATCCTTACACTAATTTTCAACCATACATTTTAAAACTTATGACATTTTTTAAAAACTTATTTATTACGTTAATTACTGAAATTTTAAAATAAATGACTAAATATTCATATAACAATTATATAATTGTAAGCTGAACATAACTAACTCTTTCAAATCCAATGATAGTATGTTTAAGTAGGTAACACCTCAGAACTATGTTGAAAAAAAAAAAGGGGGAAGGGAAAAGGTATAACATTTTTTTTTAATGAAAAGCCGGAAAAGGAATATAACATTGTTTCCACAAAAACAGCACTGCTAATCAATCTCGTGAAAACTCAGAGCTCTTACTTCGAAATTTGAAGAATTTGGCTGGCGGAAGACATCATTCTGCAATTGTGCAAAGTACATCAACTGGAGCTGGGACGAATAAAGCCTGTGCTGGCTCTCAGAAGAAGGGGGGAATACTCTTCTGATTCTGCCTGCCTTATTTTAAGCAAAACGAGTTTACTGAAGGGGACAACGGGAAGTTAAGAGTAATAACTGAGTGTTAGACCAAAAGAAGGAAAGCACGCCTATTTATAGAGGGTGGGTTCACTTTCATGAATCGGCTTTCACAAGAATATTCTTGTGAAAGCCGATTCAAGAACTTTGTTTTGTTCTCGGCTTTCACAAGAATATTCTTGTGAAAGCCGATTCAGGAACTTTAACTTGTTCTCGGCCGATTCAGGAACTTTGTTTTGTTCTCGGCTTTCACAAGAATATTCTTGTGAAAGCCGATTCATGAAAGTCGACCCACATGTTTGGTCATTTAATCGCTTAATCACTTGGCAAGGATTTCCTACAGTTAGCCTTAGGAAGATACATTTATACCTGCACCAGTACCCCTTAGGAAAAGATGTGGGACCTTATACGACGGAATGGGACAAGACCTTGAAAATTTCTCAAATGATGTAAATCAACTTTTAAATCCTTAATTTATTTTAAATTAAATCTTGAATCTCTAAAATAAAAAACAGTATAAATGAGTTTTTAAACTTCTTAAATAATGTAAATTAACTTTTAAATCTCTTAAAAGATACAAATAAACTCTAATAATTAACAATTCTTATGGCAATTGTATGACGGTGAGTCTCACTATAATACATCAAGATTGATAGCAATAGGATATGTATTAGCAATTGTATAGCTGTCTTACTATCTAAAGACATTTAAACAAATAAAATTCACAATTAGTTTAGAGGATAGTGTATCATAGGTTGTTTTCTTAAAATATAATAGAAAATATGTTTATAAATTTATTTTTAATTAATATTT